CTGTGGCGATGAAGCTTCCACCGACCGACTGCTAAACAGTTCTGCCGAGGGTCCCACTGCCATTCCCCAGCTTTTTCACAAGCACTGATGGCTGCATTGAAGCTGATCTCATCAGGAAAAGCCTCAGCAACTCAACGGGGTGCCATTTCTATGCCAACGTATATATGTGCCCTCACTTTCCAAGTCGTCAAGAACGAAACAAACCAACCTGGGGATAGTCCATCGACCAGGAAACTTCGCTGTCGGTCACCAGAAGAGAAGCGGCCCTCTGCCATCCATCAATTGCAGCCTGACAGCAGCTGATTGCCGTGTTGTAGATGATCCTTGGGACGGGGCTAGACTTTGGTGGCACTGGCTTTTTGGAGGGTTCGCTCATGGCTGGGTGTTGAATCTAATTGAGAAATGTCAGCACTGAGTGTTGGCAAAGATGTACAAAAACGACACCGCGGAATCAGATGTTCGCACAATTGTTGGAGGGGTGCTACAATTCTGACTTTGACAGTCAACCAATGTCAACAAGTCACCTCCTTTCCAAACTCATGCAAAGCAAGGGCCTTCTGTTGCCCCAGCAGCCTCTCACCCTTTTTGACACGAGATGCCATCAGGACTCAGGACAATGAGTGCAATACATCCTGGAAGGGTCGGAGGTTCCCATCCTTTTTGGGATCGATGATGGCGAAAACGACGCTTTCCCAAATTCCACGGAAGCGCTCCAAGCTGAGCTGTTCCCGGAAGTGCTGGGCGACGGCCTCTGGAGGGTTCCCAAAAGCACCACAGCCCCAAGCGCCCAGCACCAAATGTCTGTGACCGGTGAGCGCTGCTGCATGGAGCACTGACTGGACACGGACTTGGACCGTCTCGTGCCAGGCGCTGCTGCCAGCTTCTGGCCGGCCATTAGGCATGGCCGCCGTGAGGATGGTGCAAGTGCCCAAGGAAGGGCAAAGTTCGTAGCTGCCGGGGCGTCTCACAGCCGAAACATCTCGGGTCACCAAACATGCATCGCTCCTAATGGAGTAGAAGCCCTTCGTTCTAGCAGCCACCAAAGATGGATGTAACTGGGGCAGTAGTCGGCAAAGGTCTTCTTCTTGAGCACGTGCGCCGTGCAAATATCCGCCCCCAGGAAAATCTGCATTGGCAAAGTTCAGGGCGCTGGCATCTCCCAATGCTAAGGCGGCAGTGAGAGTGTCCACGTTGCAAACCTGCAGTCTTTGGTCCCCTTCAGCCCTTTGGGTCCTTGGAAAAAAACCCTGAGCCCCCAGTTCTTCTTGATTGGATCTCACGTGGAGCGGTGTGGTTCCCATATAACTCCAAGAATTTTGATGTGCACACGCTCAAAAGGGTGCACATCGCGTCAAGTACGAGTAGGTGTGGGAATGTTGCAGCACATATCTCTACATGTGACTTTCTACATATCACTCCTTCACACGCGCCCCTAAATATGTGCTTTCCACTCTTCCCACTGAGGTAGGAACACCCAGCTGGGTAGTCTCAAAGCGCTTTGAGTAGTGCTGGTCATCTAAGATCACCTCCTCAGTGCTTAGCGAGGGCAGTTCTTCACAGTGTTCCAACTGGACCACTCCTCAGCTGCGGTTCACCCCAAGGGCGGGGGTGTGGAATACACTTAAGCTTGATAGTTCACCCGCCCATTCATTTGCTTGCTCACAAGGTGCATGACAAATGCTGACTAGCCAAAGGCCGAATGTCCTTTCTTCATGAGTGCCTCGTTTTCAGCCACCAGGTCTGCCAAGCGCCCGGCAAACTTTGCGGTGACGGCTGCCTGCTCCAAACGCCGTGTCAGCTCGGAGGACCACACATATCGGTGCGCCATGGCTGGCGGCGGTCTGACAAATAGACTTCGAAGGTTGCTCCCATGAGACGTATGTGACTCACTCTGGCTCTGTAGAAAGCTAACTGAAAGTTTGTTGTTTAGTTGAACCGTTGCACCATGTCTTTTGCAACAGCACGGCATGCATCGATTTTTCCTGTAATGGTTCAAAGCTTGCAGCTTGCAGCACAAAGAAATCATGGAAGTGACCTGTAGTTCCACATGCCATCACATGGCAAAATATTTGCCAAGTAGAAAAAGCACCTGGTGTCTGACACTCACTGGCCGTAGATTTCATCTCGAGCCGGGCTCTGCGCTGTTAGGGCCACCTCTCATTCTTGTGCGCGCAGGCTAGGGATAGGTTTAGGTGCACAAGCAAAAGTCGATGCACCACGCCTGTCAACCTAGTACCCATCGGCATCGCGTGCAAACAACTTGCCCCAGCTGTATCCCGATGTCCCTCTTTGACAAGTCTCGAATTGGCTTGCACGTCTTCCTGTTGCAGTTGCTCCAAGAGGCCCAGGCTCCGCTGCCATCGTCCACCTGCCTGTAATTGATGCAACGGGCATCTTTCAAGCAATTTAAGATATTGGGTGCCATCAGGGGACCGGTATGTGGATATACCCTGGAATAATTAGAAATTATTCTGCTATACCCTCCACATGTTTGGAGAATATTATTCCTGCCGTAAAGTGCTCACTGGAATAGTTAATCAATAATACATCAAAATTGTACAAAAAAACTGCCACAAAGCATTTGCGCCAACTGCAGAAATCAGCAAGAATCGCATCTTTTCCCATCTTGTCCAGCATTGAGTCTATGTCTGAGCCGTAAGAAGATTCGTAGACACTGCCACATCTGACATGAGAAACGGAAAAAAAAGAATGCTGGCGTCTAGGCATGAAGATTTACTAGATCGAGAAAAATATAAATCTTCAAGAAAACCTCACGGTGGAAATCTACATTTCTGTCAATTTGCAACACTCTAGGCACCAACATGGACATAAAACATCATAAAACGAATTCAGGAAAGTGATTGTTTCCAGGTATAGAGATTCACCAGCTCAACAAAAATATGATACATCCAAGAAACCCTCAGTGTAGAAAATCTACATTTCTGTCAATTTGCAACACTCTAGGCACCAACATGGACATAAAACGAATTCAGGAGAGTGATTGTTTCCAGGTATAGAGATTCATCAGCTCAACAAAAATATGATACATCCAAGAAAACCTCAGTGTAGAAAATCTACATTTCTGTCAAGTTGCAACACTCTAGGCACCAACATGGACATAAAACGAATTCAGGAAAGTGAGTGTGTACAGACGTTGACGTTGGCAGACCAAGAAAACCATAAAGTCTATCAAACAACTGAATTGAAAAGATCCTCAAGAGCTGTAGAAATTATTCCCAAAAAAAATATTCCATGAACCCACATAACCATTGGAATAATTTCAGAAGGCACGGAATATAGTTTAAGGATATGATATACAGCAGGCACAATTTGATCTCGATAATTGGCAACTGCTTTGTTGCATCCTCCTTTCCTCTCTCCGTCACCTCTCCTTTAATCCCCCACCCTCCATCCATCTATGCATTCATGCACCCACCGAGCCACCCATTCCGAATGTGAACATTTACTTGGATGGACCTAGGATGTCCTCGGATCACCATTTCCATAGTGAAGGGAACAAATGGATACAACGGAACCAAAGATGGCCAACACGTTTGGCAAACACGCTTGGCCTCACAGGCGCTCAGTGCCACTCCATACATCACCGCGTTCGGATACTTCAGCAGGCCCACTGCAGAGCGCCAGTGAGAACTTTGCAGCCAGGCCTTGGGCCAGTCGCCGGTTGGGCGAATTGACACCATTGGGCGATGCCCTTGTTACGTTCGTAGCGTCCTTGCTACTAGTAATAATGTCAGGAGCTACTAGTAGCTTCTGGCATTATTACTAGTAGCGATGAATTTACCCATCCAAGCGGGTAGAATAATGGTAGAAGTATGTAGAATGTGTTGGCCCAATTCATTGGATTCTGTCTGATCGCATCGATCAGAGTGGGTTGTTGGCTTTGACCTTCCAACACTATCCGGACAAACGAACGTTGGAAGCGGCCGGTTGAAGGCCACAAGCAAGTAGGCTCCAATGGATCGTCTGTGGCATACTTCTGCATGCATGCATATGTAGTCTAATTTGGCTGCTGTGTGACATGGTATGTAATGTGCATTGAATTTTATATAAGCTCATTTGATGCTCTGTCATCTGAAGATGTTAAAATCAAAAAGCGGTGCAGTGTAAGGCAGTGCTGCAGTGTACCTTCTGGAGGCTCATTCTCGACCTGTGGCTGTCACACCATGCCCCAGACCCTTTTGGGCCAGCCACACTCATGGCCGTGCTACAGGACACCACATTGGCTGCAGCGCCCAAGGCCTCTAGGGTCAAAAGCGCCGCTGGCCAGCACTCACCTGCAAAGACATTGATAGAAGGGAGGAACACCTTGGATGAACGGCCCATGTCTTAATTGAGACCTTTCATAGTTGGTTGGAGGCTGCCATCACACTTGACCAAGGAAAATAGTTGGGCAACTCCAGCCTCTCTGACAGGCACTCATAACACTGTTTTGGATCACCCGATCACACTGCAACGACATCTTGGGGACATCTGCCATCAATTGGACACCTTGGCACCACTTCCGGCACTTCTCACAGGCACTGACCACAGCACTGTGCACAATGATGTTGGGTCGCAGCCTTTCTTGCTGACCCTGCCACTTCAACCAAGCAACAGCTCCTTGCCATTGTGCACTCCTCCGGCATGCATTGATTGCATCACAGCTCTCTTGAAAGGTGGGCTGCGGCCTTGTAAATCTGCTGGGCAGGCTGACGGTATCATGAACGCCGGAGCAAACCATTCACATCGGTCGGGACCAATCCAGCTTCTTTCAGGTCAGGATGACTCGCCTGTATGCACCAGTTCTTCCTGGCAGCATGGAGCTGCTTAGCACTGAGTTTCGCTCCAGGCTTTCGAATCATGGCCAGCTGCGTTGAAAAAGGCTAAGGTCTTGAGCTGCTCTGAATGATAGGGTCACGCAAGAATGACAGAACCAGCGTTTCGCTGGTAAAAGTATGAAACTTTGGCTGGCATAGTTGCTCTAGGTCTAGGTCAGTGGGTCAACGCACCGAAACTGTCTGCACTTTGCTGGAGAGGCATTTACAAATCCAATCCATTCTCGATGGCTCATGAATAGCTCTTTTGTCCCCCGGGATGCGCTTCAAGTACAACGTGAGCCCGCTTCCAATGCGTTCAACCTGGCAACATACTGACCCTTCACCGGTTGCTCTTCAAAACGCACATGAATGTAACTGTCGCCAGGCCGCCCTGTGAAACTCATTCATTCACAATCCAAAAGGTATGACTCGGTATGACCAAATAGTGTGGTTCCAACATCCCAATGTTTATTTCAAAGAATGTGCCTGGCACCTGGCCTCGACAAGCATCTTCCCCAAGGCCAATCCCAACTCAGCTTCCTCAAAAAGACCTGAGTTTCCAGCCCGGAAACAGGTCTTCATTAATTAGCAAAACTGCTGAACTGCCGAGGTGTTGGCATTGCCGCGTCTTTTGACACCAATGGCCCAATTACACTCCCATGCCCTACCCTGCTTGAGCAAGGCAATTTGAGTAATTTTTTTAAACATCTTTAGGTCAACTCCCAGTGCTTGGTGAGCTGCCAGACATCAATAAGCCAGTGATCATGTCTGCCTGAAACAGCCATTGCTTAGAACGATTGGGTGCGGAATACCCTGACCGCTGCATCATAATCTTCATACACTGCTAGCCAGTTCGTTTGCAAATAAAACGAAGGGTCACCGCGGTTACTACTAGGTTACTAGGGCATTATAGTTCAATTCTCCTTGAACATGCGAGAAAGGATGGCGTCTAATTAGCGCCTGCAGTGCCTCCTTCCTCAATGACATCAGCAGCTCAGAGGCATGTCGCCAATGAAAGCAGTGGGCCTCAGGCCGCAACTCAAAGCTTTGGCGGCCCGCTTGGTTGGGGCAACTCAGCTGCGTCAATGCCAGTCTTCCGAGATTCAACTGAAACACTTGGTTCATCCCCACGACCAAAAGTGTAACAAATGAAATGCATAAACAACAATTAAACACACACATATATATATATATGCATAGATACAAGTGCAAGCTGAGAGGCACAAGCAGCGATAGCAGCATTGTAGGTCACCAGATTTGGCGCCATCTGTGCCTTCGAAGCAGTTCTTGCCCTTTTAAAGGTCACCCTTGCGGGCTAAGTCTTCGGGCCAAACAATTTCTGACTTCTTACCCGTGTACAGTGCTGGAGCGGCAGTGATACGGAAGCATGAAGCCCCCCTACAAGTAATTAGTCTGAATATGATCCACTTCGTGTTCACACATGTTCACACAGCTCGTCACCCTGTCATACTCATATACTCTGTCAACGAAGTGCTTTCCCCAAACACATCTAGTCACCTGGTGCGAAGCCATCATTTGCACGAACCATCGCAAACCCGGCCTGACAATGCAGGAGATCCATGAGATCAAGGGCGCTGGTCCAGCGGCTCCCCTTTTCACAAGCACTGATGCTGCTGGAGAAACTGATCACCTCGGCAGAAGAAGCAGTACAACAGAAGAATGGCGGAAGATCGATGCAGTGTGGGGCCGAAGCATACCTTCACAGTGGCGTTCACAAGTCTACGCAAAAGGCATCAAAAGACATTTTGTTGGAAAGGGAGCCCTTTCTGCCTAATTACGGTAATTTGTTGAAGCGTCAACACAAAGATTTGGGAACAACATGAACTTGACATAACACTTATATTCATATGGATCTTTGCCTATGAAGGTGAATTTCCTTGTCCAAACAAAGATTGGGCAAAGTTCTGCCTTTACGCGAGGGGTCTTCGCATATGCACAACCTGTGAGATGTGCCTTCGTGGGCCAACATGCATTATCTGTTCATAGTCGAAAGGATTGCATACCAATAACGTTGCTCAAATGAGCTCAGGAGTGATAGCCTGATGAAACTCTTGTGGTCAGCAAATGTGAGCAGCCTAATCGCTCTTTGTGTACGAGTTGCACACTCTTGTACATGTTGTAAACCTGACATAAGGGATTGATTGAAAACACCAACGTGCAGCCAACAACTTGTGCGTGTGTGGAACTTGTGCAGTTGGTGCAGGTTTAGCCCAAAGACGCTAGCTTCCAGATGTTGTCGAAGCATCTCCTGGAAAAGGAGAAGTGCCATCTGCCACTGCTCCTGCAGATCATGTCTGTCCCACAAACGCTGCACTTGGTTTGGCAAAACAAGGCGTTAAATCCTGAAAACTGCATGTCGCAAGTATGGCAATTGAGATTGAGGCGACAAACGCGGTATGCTCATGGCCTGTCTCTCACTAACTGGTCACTAGCCGTTCTCCAAACAGTTCCAACCGTCAAGCGCCCACACCCACCACAGAGGGAGAGGGAGGGAGAGAGGTAAAGAGAGAGAGAGAGATTGAGATTTAAAAAACAAATACAGAAAAAGAACAACCTGTCATCAAACTCTTCTGCAACCCAGCAGGCACATGAGTCAGTCCTTCTCACAGGCGCTAATGGCGGCATTGTAGCTGACGCCATCCGCCTGTCTCAGGAAGAGAATTGAATAAGCAAGGAGCTTTGTATATGTATATATGCCATGTAAATAAATACTGTACAGTATATTTCTGCGTATGATATAGGCTGACAACACGAGTGCTAAGGAAGAAGACATTCCACCTCCATCTGACTCTCAAGGAGCTGGTTGAGCAGCGCCACCGCCGCACGCCATTGTGAGCGTTTTTTCACATGCACTGATTGCCTGAAGATCAACCACGATCTGTGCACGATGTCATTTCTACATGCTGTATCTCTCTTGAAGCGCAATTTTCAGTCCATGTGACATATGTGCAATTCTTCACTCCATGTGACATTGCACAGCTTCCACCCTGCATCCAAGGTCTGGATGAGTCAGCCCTGAGATTGGGTCCAAGTAGCAGCGCTGTAGGCGATCACGTCTGCCCGCAGCTCTCGCGTCAGAATTTCCTGGCAGGAAGCATCCAAAATTGAACAGCAAGTGGTGGACTGCAGGAAGGCCACGTGTTGTGGAATTCTAGAAAAATCTCTCTGACAGCGTGCCCAGGTTTGCCGCGAAAATGATCTCTCATGCTACCTCCAGGAGCTGCAAAGCCATTCGCCATTTGCCCCGCTTCTCGCAAGCGCTGATCACAGCGCTATACCTGGCGATGAAGGCGCTTCTATAGCCAAGCACAGAATCAGCTAGTAACGGAAACCAACCAACAAACTATGGCCCCCCCAGGCAACTATCACGCGAGCCACGCTTCTCAACTCAACAGCTGATAAGCGCGGTGTGCGTGCGAGATGATGCTGACGTCAATTACCTGCTTTGCGTCAAAGCCCCTGAGGAGGTGCAAGGCCAGCTGCCATTGGCCCCCCTTCCTGTCAGCACATTGCAACGGTAGGATCCAATCTTTGAAGTGCCTTTGACTGCTGGTGGCACAGTGACACACAAATAAAATTCTATATCTGCTCTCCATGCTAAGGGCTTGGAAAGACCAGACTGTTCCATATCAGTTCAGAGCATGAGGTGAAAATGATTGGAGTCAAGGTTCTCAAAGGCACTGAGCACGGCATTGTATGTAAACTCATCTGCCTGAAGCTCTTGACCTTCAGAATTGTCAAAATGTGTTTTTTTAATGAATAGGACATGTGCCATGTTCATGGTGAGTCTTGCGCAGTTGGTGCTGAGTCTGCCTTATGGACGAAATTAGAGGCGGTCTTGACATGTTTTGAATATTTCCACTTAGCTCGATAGAACCCAGGATGATGTGGTAGATGCAACCCCAAGGAACTTACCGATACTGCTTACATCAAGCGAACACGGCCGCCTCGCACTCTTTCACCAATCCAGTGGTGCCTTCGAACACTCTTCCCAACCCAACCCAGCTCACCTGAAAGTGTTTCGAGCAAGCACAAGACCTCTTGCCAGTGTCCAGCCTTTTCGCAAGCACTGATCGCGGAATTGAAAGTGATCAAGTTCCTGAGAGCACAAGAAAAAAGAAGTGCCCATGGTCTTGCATGGCTAACTTGCTGAGCTCGTGTCCAAAATGACCCGCCGCCATCAACAAGTACAGTTCATGATTGAGTCTGATTGAGGTACTAATAAGCGAAGCATGCACTTGCCAAAGCACTTGTCAGCCCCAACAAGCCATCCTTCAACCTGGTGTGGTGTATGCAATGTTCGGTCCGTCATGGTTTGAAGATGATTGAAGTCATGTAAGGATTTATTTGAGGGGCACCTGCGTGGATGATTTATCAAGCCCGAGCGTCGCCACAAGCTCTGCATCCGACATGGTTCCAAGTAAAGCCATGGCCACTTCCCATTTTGCACACTTCTCGCCTTGGGTCAACCCTGTTGGATTGTTGATGGTTTTGGGTTCCGGAGAGAGTTGTGATGCTGAAGTTGGCACTTGCGAACGAAGCAGGCAATTCGTGGAACGCAAAAGCTGTTTTTGCTCCAGGCCCTACCCCCAGGCCCTAAGTTTAAGGTGCGACTCCACATGTAATTTTCTTCTGAGGGCTCGATGGCCGATTTTGTAGCGACGCTATAACAAGATGCCTCCGATGCATACGCTGTCCGGTTCCCCGATGTTTGCCAATGTCACAGGCAGAGATGGCGGAGCTGTAGGTGATCACGTTTGGCAAAAGCACTGAGGTCACCATGTCCTGAGAAACTAGGATAGACTAAGGACAGTTTGCCTGAGTGGCATGATGGGTTAGACTCTACTTCTAACTTCTACTGCCCGCTTGCGTGCGAGTTTTAATCCCACAGCTGGTCATTCTATTGCATGTCGTTTCTCTTGATTTTCACATTCCTTCGTTTTTGGGTGGAAGTCATGATGCTGGCCTGATTGATCGTGATCCACGCTCGGATCTTGACCGATCAAATCAGGAATCTGCTTGCGGAGAGGCATGCTTCTACTAGTCCGACACAATGGACCCCTAATTATTGAAAGCAAAAGAAACCTCATTCAGTACCACTTTCGCACCACGGCGAGGTTTCCTTCAGGAGCTGAAGCGCCAAAAGCCATTTCTGGCCCTTGCCACATGCACCTCGAGGGCTGCTCAAAAGAGCTATATTGTTCCCGTTCTCAGGCTACACTCTGGACCTGCAGACTTTGGAAATTGGACAGCTTGTGCAAAGTGCAGCTGCAGATCAGCGTGAACCCACGGGCCATAACACTGAAAGTCAGGCATTATATGATCCCAACAATTGTGACTTTCCTGCCAAGCAGCTTAATGCTGCACTATAGGTGATGACATTGGCCTCCAAATGCAAAGCATTCAGCTCCTGATTGAGGGGCCAGCCAGTGGGGATGCTTCTCCATGTCATGCTAAAGTTTCCCTCAAAAAAATGGACTTATATAACACATTGATGTATTAGCTAATTTTGGACCGAGGACCTTGTTTCACTGTCTTACCTTGCAAGCTGGTTCCAAGACACATCTTCTCAACAATTGCAGCACAGTTTCCACCAAAGCCTGTAAGGCGGATTGCCATTGACTTGCGGCATGGCACGCGCTGACCACCTTGCTGAGGGTCAACTCTGCACCTCCTCTCCTAAAAATACAAACACCATCTACTGGCAAATTGGTCGTATATAACTGACCACGAACACCACCCCGTTGCTTTGGCATGCGGAGGGCGTCAACTGCAACATAAACAACTGAGTTCAACTGAGTGGCTGCATTGTAGACCACCACATCAACTTCACCTTCTTCTCTGCTCAGCTGAGACAATAGGTTGATCGCTCGTTGCCACTGAACACCACAAGCGCAAGCGCTGATCGTGGAGCTGTAGATGATGCCATTCGGTCGATCAAAACTCTCCTGGTGGATCTCATCTCACACAAAGGGGCACCCAGACTTCCACCCAGTGGCACATTCATTTCCCCTTCTGGACTCCTAGACAGTGAAATTTTTGGAATGCAGTCCCAATCACCAAACCAAGCAAATGGGAGGGACTTGCTACAATTACAGGAGCTTTCTGCGTTATGACGCAGGCTATTACTTTCACCGAAATACGGCTTCTTTTAGGATGCCTCAACCGTTAATATACTGTCCAAACACCCTTCTTGGCCAACCGTCCTGAAGATTGGAAAAATGCACGATGGCCTGCTGCCAACTGTGACTTCTGCCACATTTGTTGATAGCAGTGCAGTAGGCTCGGTAAGTCTGCCTCCTTCACGGTGCTGAGCACTCAGCGTTCAAGGATATATGGAAGGCAAAGGGATTTCACATGTCAATATTGTCAATCAGCAAACCATTGAAGATATCAATGTGAACAAAAACCGGAGTCATGAATTAAGCCTCAGCCTCTGTGTCTCCTGGATTTCCTTGACATACTATGCCCTGGACTCTTCATACAACGCTTCTAATGATTCTAATGAATTTGAATATAACAAAGACATCCAAAGACCCCCTGCAGGCAGATGGGTTGATGCGAAATCTCCATGCATCTCTGGCACCTTCCCTCTCTCTGTTCCCCTCCATTCCCCTCCCTTCGCCTGTCGGAGTCGGAGACCTCATGACATGACAAAGGCACGTGGAGTCATTTACTGTAGCATCCTCTCTGCAATTACCGGTGCATGTCGGGCATGCCATTTATGTCTGGCTTAACTAACTTTATCCATTTAATAGAGCTTAATTCGGCAGAGAATCATTGTCCTGTCACATGATATCGTGAGAGATAGTGAGAGTGACCTGATATTGCTATGGATCCCGTGCCCAAAAACCACACATGGTCGATCCCGAGCCCGCCTTGTGCCTCCCATTTGTGCCCATTCCCTGCCAAAGGTGTGGAGACTGTGAAGGACTTGTGCCAAGCAAAGCCTAGCAGCCTTCACTTTCGCAACATGACTTCCCCAACGGTTGGTCTGGACTGGAGCTGAAAGCATCATGTCATCAGGAGTTGATTGATCTTACTGAACTGAGCCAATTTGAGAATGTGGAGCTGACAGCATGCACGGTTTAAAGCGTAACCCCAAGCCCTGCCTCAATGAAAGGAACATCAGGATGGCTAGGGCAGAGCCAAGGGCCCTCAAAATACTCCTCTTCTACTTCTAAACTTGCATTGAGCCAGCTGTGCTGACGCATCCGAAACATCAGGGGGGGAAGCTATTAGAATGTTACAGTCGCCGTCAATGATGACTCACAGATTGCCTATAGACCTTGGTATGATCTGATGCAGAATGACCCAATTCTTTCTTGGGGGTGCTCTCGCAGGCTGCTATGCTGCTCTGACTTCATTGGCCACTTCGGCATGCAGTTGCTGGTGTCCAACCGCAGGGTACCGTCAAATTGGCGTGTGTCATTGACCCGCAGACGCTAAATAGACCCCCCAAAATCTTGAAAATGCTATGGCACTGCCACGCTCTTCCATGGCAGGGTGAAAGCAAAGTATTGCCCGTCTCGGCATCAATGAGGGAAATCACATCATTGACAGGCTTCACGTTCAAACTGCCCTGGTCATCCTGCTCCAGTTGCTGAAGCCGTGACTCAGGCAACTGCCCAAAGAGTACACGGACAGCATAGTGAACGCCAGGAGAGGCAAAGGTGATGGTCAGCAGCTTCTCAGGCCAAGGCAACTCTAACTCAACAAGCCGTGCAATGCCACCACCCAGTGAATGCCCTGCAAGGTAGAAGGTTCTTTCGGGATACTTTCCT